GGGGGTGCCTATGTGCTTATTGGTGGAGCTACAGAACTTTGAGCCACAGAGCCAAAAGCCAGAAAGAGGCCTGCGTACAGGTATGGCTGAAAAGCTACTCTGACAAAAGACTGATATCCTGAGTGATTTCTGATCCTGAGTTATAACCTATTGATTACCTAATGAGCTCTAGTGGTGCAGTCCATAGCGAACTGCACTGCTGACCCAAAGACTGAACCTCTTGGAGGTTTGAATCCATCAGCTGCTCTGTGGGATGGACAATCTCCTCCCATGCAATTTATAGGGTGGTATTATAAATTCAGGATTATTCAAACATATGGTACAGTTGTAAAACTGGTTTCAGTTGCTTCCAGCCAGCAAAATTGGTTGTTCTGCCCTAGAATCCTACTTCTCTTTCTTTAGTCATGTAAAAGTACTTTAAACTGCCTGTTTACAGGGAGTGGAAATGCATATTTCCTGGATTAGTACTGACTGCTTTGAAACTGGTTTACTCTGTTTTATGTAAATTGTACCTTAAATTGTCTGTTTATCAGCAGGCAAAATGCATTATTCCTGGATTCCTGTTTACCTTTTGAAACAGTATTTTCTTAGTCATATGTAAACTATATCGTAAACTGTCTGTTTTCTACTGTCTGTAAACAGTTCTTTATGAATGTAAAAATCCTGTAAATTTGAACGAAATTAACATCTAACCCAAGAATAAAAGCCAATGACCAGTCTTATAGGGACTGCAGCTTTTAAGAGGATTAAGATCTGTTCTCCCAGATCTTCAATGATGTGCTTTAGATATTGGAATCCGCCTGTCTTATTAGCAACTGACTATGGATAGAACCCCTTGTGTTCAGTAACACAATGAATTATTAAAACCAGCAGAGAAATAGGGAGTGCTGATGGCAGGACAGCTGTCATCAGTATTGGTAAAAAGGTGTGAGAGCAGAGGCATGTCTGACCTCCACCTCTTAGGAATCAGCTTCACAGGACTCTTGCCCCCTTTTAAAGTCAGAGAAGGTCAGACTTTGTTTTTCCAAGCCTTTAGGAATATTTTGCACAACTGAACATCCTGGCCCTTGTTATTTGTGGATGAATAATGGTAGCTCAATGGTGTTTAATTTACTTTCATTTTTCTGTGAGTGTTGACAAAGAAGTTAGGAAGACCCTGGATGAGATGAATTGACTCAGTGACTGGAGGAATGGAGGTAAATGTGTTAAGAGATAATAAAATTGGTTCTACATAGAGCAGGGTTCAGAGCTGTTGCACATAGGCTCACTACGTAACACCAACAGCTATTGTTGTTGATTGTCTTCAAGTCAAGCATGACACATAGTGACCCTTTGAACAAAAGGCTTGAAGCCCCTCTACAACTATTGACATTTATCAAAGTTCATAGTTTCTGGAGGCATGTTGTTTAGGAGGGGGATAAAACAATATTTAAGCAATTCAATTTCCCTCCTTTAGTCATAAGAAAACAGAGAGCCTAGGTTTAACATTCCTGAAAGGCTTTTGGTGTTTGTGTTGTTTTGGGTTTTTTGGTTTGTTTTGGGGTGTCTTTTTTTAGAATTTATAAATGCCATGCACACCCATGTATATTGCGGCTTTGCTCACCATAGCAAGGAGTTAGAAAGAACCTAAGTGCCCATCAACAAACGAATGGATAGAGAAGTTGTGGTATATTCACACAATGGAATACTACGCTGCATTGAAAAACAAGGAACTCATGCAATAT